AGGGTGTTCTGCGGGGTCCCAGCAGGAAGCCGGGGTGCAGGGGAAGCAGGACCCGTGGCCCCAGCCCAGAGGCACATACTTTTGTCCATTCGGGCTTTAGGAGTCCGGTGGTGGCAGCACCAAGAGCTTTGTGTATCACAACGAGGCCGAGTATCAAAACCAGAGTTTTTGGGAATGGTCTCTGTTCTGTTCCAGTCACTGCCCATCTTGGGACACCTCTGAAATCCTGTCTATGGAAGTGAGGAGATCAGCGACGAGCTGCAGCGACTCCGCTCCAGACACCAGCTGCCTGCAAGGGGGGGGACACAGCGTTAGGAGGGAGAGGGTGAAGCAGGCACCGGCTCAGCTGTGTTTACTCAGGCAGTGTGATTTCTCTAGCAGCAGTTTGACTGAAGAGTTCTTGACTACAGGAGTCTGGGGGAGAGAGAGCCTCTAGCGGGTTTACGTTAAGTAAAAAGTAAGACTTGCATGTTCCAGTCATTTTTATTACCTAAACTTGGAGGAAAACACATGAGTAAGAACAAAGAGCAGCTGATAACACACAAAAACTAAGAACCCAAGTTTCAATTCTAAAAGAGAAAGCCCCTGGGGACATTTAGCTGTGACCTCTGGATTTAGGGAGCACCGGATGGTGTTAGAAGTCATCATAACACGACTCACCTGATGGAAGCCCGGGAGTTGGTTATGACAGTGAGAAGGTTCTGCAGGGCAGCATCCGCGTTCTGCCTCACCGTGGCCAGACTCGCTGCCTGCCCCGACCGCAGCGCTTCGTTCTCCGACTTGTAATTCTTCAGCTGAACCTGGGGAGGGAGCAGAGAGACTTCACCTCAAAACAGCCGCAGAGCTCCCACAGGCAACGATCCCCCACTAAAGCAGCTAAAGAACACGTTCACAGTTTATCAGGTACAACCGACACTGAACGGACCCCAGACCGCCTGGAGAGTCTCCTCCCAACTCTGGAGGGCAGCCTCCGACAGGAAACTGAGCTGAAATCCCACACAGCACACCCATGGCAGCCTGCTTCCCTCACAGACCCAACCCGGAGCCACTGTGGAAGCGGGGATGGAAGCTGCCATCCCGGTGTCCACACCTCGTCTAACACTACAGAGGCTTTGCGGAGCTCCCTGCAGCCCGAGAGCGCTGCTTCCCACCTGCAGTAACGCGTTCTCCTGCTTCAGTTTTGTGGCGCAGTTCTCTGCTTTAACAGCCCGTTTCTGAAACAGAAGAGAGATCATTTATCCCATAGCAATGTGTTTAGGGTGCAACAGGCGGTTGGAGCTACCCAGGGCGGTTTGAGCTACACATGAATGCCATACTCCAGCATGGAACTCTGTTTGGGATGTACCACCCTGTGTTCCAAATGCATTAGAAGGGGAAGCGCCCCAACCACGTCTTGAGCAGCTGCCTCCTCTCCTCCCTCCCAGTTTTTCCTTTCTGATCTCTTCCAGTGACACCCATCGCTTCTGGATGTGAAATTACTACTATTTTTAGGGAAACAGCACTTGGTATAAATAAGCAGCAGGAGAAGCAGCTCTTAGGTTACACGGGAGGTGCTTTCAGAAGGCTGCAAAAGAGCTACTGAAGTTGTTGATGAATCCAGAAATGAGACTAATGCAAAAACCTCCCTTATTTTAGGTAACAAAAGTTCTTGACTGGGACACGGTGTTGTTATGGGGGAGAAGCCTGAGCCCATGTCAGAGCTGTTCAGTGCCCACATGGGGCACTCGCAGGGAAGGCAGAGGGACAGAACTGCACCGTTCTCACTGCAAACAGCACCACTCACCGTCATCAGCTGGAGGTTCTGCTCCACGTGCTGCACCATCGCTTCCAGATCCTGCGCTTCTTTCTCCTCTTTGATCTTGTTTTCCTCAAGCTTTTTTTCAAGCTTCCTCACCCTTAAAAGACAAGAGACAACGTTCAGTGAGCACCTGGAGCATTAAATCCTTTCAGAAGAAAAATCTAGGGAAGGAACAAGAAACTCATTCTTTCCTGTTGTAAGAAGCAATGAAGACTTCCCACAGAACTACACTTCTTGATGGTGGCTATGGGGATTTCTCTGTTCCACAGCCATTAGCATTAGTGGGACCCACACAAAGGAAAGGCTTTATAGAAAATAATCAGCCTAAATAAGGGTAATTCGGAAACAGTTACCCCATACCAGGGAAGCACCAGCTGCCTCACTGCAAGGAGCAGCAGAGGATTCAGCCAGGAACTTCAGGAACACTTAAAGACCACCCTACACTGGTCACCAGGTTGTTTAACCTCAGGAAACCCTGGTTAATCTCAGGAAAATCAAGTCTCCCAGTATCAAATTGGTCACCAGCAAAAATAAACACACTTTTCTTGCTTCAAATGGGAGAGATTAGGATCATTTTGTTAATCTGAAGGTTTCTGAAATGCCTCTTTTCAAGCTCTACCCTCATTGTCACCATGCACCTAAACTGCATGAAGCTTAAGCCACACACACACCCCTCTCAGCAGTCAGTTTGCTACTTCCTTTCCAAGCCTTGTCAACAACAAACCCAGGTTTGTTAAAGCTTTTTAAATAAATAGCATAGATTTCAACTACATTTTTCTTCTCTAACCACGGTGACTGTCTCCACTGAGCACCTCTTCTAAGACAACTCCTTGTCTATGTGATTACTTTCCCCCACACTGTGGCTTACGCACTTGTCTGCTTGAGTTTCAGAGAAAATCTGAAGCTTATTGATCTTGCTCCTCAAAGTGGCATTCTCTTCTTTCAGCTATAAGAAGAAAGACTCTCATTAGACATGAGGGTGCAGTTTCACATCACTACTAACACTCCAAAGCCAGTACCACAAGAAATATCCAGCTTCCACTCTAGTGCTGGGAGGTTTTGCACTTTCTACGACACTCAAGCCTACTTTCACACCTTGTTTTCCCCTCTCGAAGCCACTTAACCACACTGAGTGTGTGGGGCACAGAAATGCAGCTCCGAACCACCAGCATTGCCATGACTAATCAAACACTGTTAATTCTAAATGACCTCAAAGGGTGTTAACTCTAAATTAACAGGACCTCAAAGGGCAGGAGCATGAGGAAGTCACCTGGTGCCAAAAGGCTGCCACTGCAGACC